AGACCAGGAAAGGAGGTAAAAGCAGACGATTTGTGAGAAATATTTTTCTGTCGCTACCTGAATTCGGACCCGGGACCTTTGAATGAGAGGCGAACACCTTAACTTCCAGGCCACCAGAGCCCCCGTCCAGATCTCTGTAACACATCGAATGCAAGCTTAAATTCAGGCAGGAGACCCTCTAACTTTTTGTTTTCACTTTTACTAAAAACCTTTTCCTGCGGAATGACACCCGGACACGATGATTTTTATTTTAACGCTTGCATAATATCCATATAAGCTCTTGCACACTATAAAAAATGAGTGTATGGCTTTAACGCTTCTATGAACAGTATGTCAGGCTTCCGAATTTAACGTTCATTTCTGATAGAACGAAGCCAAATTGACTTAAAGCTTTGAAAACTCCACAAAATGACCCAAGTTAAACATCAGGGACTCGAACCAGGGCCATCTGTTTCGTAGTCTAGCATGATACCAACTGAGCTCCTTGAACTTCGAAAGCATTGCAAACATTTAACAACTCTGAATGGTGTTATGAAAGTAAATAGTGATACCGTTGATTCTTTCCTTCAAATGACTTGCCAGCCACTACAATATGAGATGTTGAAAAATTCGTGGAAAAAACAAAACACGTATTGCCGTACACTTTCCTTGACTTTTTCACCTCATATAATTATAATCATTTAGCATAACTTACTTAGACATGAAAATCATGCCGATTTGGCAATCTCACGGTCTATATCAGTAAGTATCTGAGCTCATACCGTTACAAACTTAATCAAGCTTAGGCTGACTAAGGTATTTGTCGTTTTCACCCCTACCAGAAAGAACAGAGAGTATATCAATTGGCGATTTAGTCGTCTCCCCACAGCCCGTAGGCCTACTTCAGCATTTACGAGGGGCAGTGTTCCACTTCGGGGCAGACTGTCCCCAAAGCGTATTGTGTGTTGTTACTGTTGTGTTGGGTCAAGGGCTCTCGAACTGGCTCAACACGGACGAGCAAGAGTTGACACATGGATTCTCAAAACACCTCGCTTGTTAGTGTTACTGTGTGATAAAGGTAGTCCTAATCATGTAGCTGGGCTGTTGTAACCACGTCTGCAGTCCCTTTCTACCCATTAAAGTCGTACTGGTGGTTGGAGAGGGCAACTTAAAATTGTAGGTCCAATTTTAAAACTCTCTTTCTTGTCCGTCTATTGGCCCGTCTTGCTCTTTCCCAGCTCTAAATTATGACCCTTATCATGTCAATATATTCCTCTTTGTTGAGACTTAAGCGGTATTAAAAAAGTAAAAGCTCTTTGAAATTTATTTTAATTAGCTCGTACTTCAAAGATAGCTGTTCTGATCCCATGTCATTTCCGAGAAAATGATTTTCCCGGACATGCAGATATTGTGTGGAAAGGAAGAGCAGATAACGGAACATTACAACATTACATTCTGAAACGTTGTTATCATGTCGAGCATATTTATGATTGTACTTGTGATGATGAAACAACTTTAAAATAAGAGAAAAAGAATAATCGGGTCGTTGGCGGCTGCTCCTGCTCCGGTGTGGTATGCCCCTTCTTGTCTATAAAATATATATATCGACCTGATCTACGTATATGCTGCGTTTTTAAGCTACACCCCCCCCCAAAAAAAAAGAAGAAAATTTAAGTATACGTAAATAAAATAAACAGCGTGTCTACAATCAATGTCGAAAGACCAAAATGCTCGTCCTCAATGGGTTAATGAAGAGTAAAGTTCCATTGCTGACCAATTATATTATTCCCTTACCTTTTGAAAATGTTGTTTTATGTTTTCACTACCCGTGTGTTAACACATATTCATTGGAACGGTTTGTAAAAACTATTTTCTTATTACTTGAGCTAAACGAAAACTTGTAATTTTTATTGGAGTTGATCGATAGCGTCTTAGCAGATGCAAACAACGATAGCCAAGAGATTTTCGCTCCACTGACTTCCCCAAATTCCTTTCACTTATATTTTTTTCCTCTCAAACGCAGCCCCCCCCCTCCCGCCTC